CTTAGGGAAATTCCTCTTGTAGTGCTCATTTTCACCACACCCATAACAGGCTTGGCTTACTCCAGCTCTGGGAGTCTGAGCATTAGGTTGCGCAGGTGTTTTGGAGAAACGGGTTGTATGCCCTTTTCTGTTACAGCTAGTGCATTGCACTTCCCGACAAGGTCCATGATGATGGAAATTGCATTTGTCACAGCTCGGGAGGGTTCCAGCATATCGACTGGTAAGTGTTTGAGTAGTGGGAACAGCAGCAGGAATGGTAGCAGCATGGACTGCCACTGTTTGATGTTTCTTGGAGGGCTCTTGCGAAGATTGGCCTTTCCGATTGTTCCAGAACTTCTTCTTATTTCCACCCTCTTTGGGTTGTTCAGGGATGACAGTCATGGGGTTGTGGCGATCCCCATGATCCACCAAGGTCTGTGCCTGACGCTTGACACTATCAAAAGTGAGTGGTTTTGGCAGCTAAGACATTCCCTTGAGTTGGGGTGTCAATCCCCATATGTATCTTTCAACCTTCTTGCTCTCCGGGGTGACCATCCCGGGACACAGAAGAGCCAGGTTACTGAACCTAGCAATGTAAGCAGCGAAATCAGAGTCCTTCATCTTCAGATTCAAGAGCTCCTGCTTTAGTTTTTGCATTTCACCCTGCGGGAAGTATTCAACTAACATTAGTTCCTTCAAATCGTCCTAACTCCTAGCATTGGCTATCGGGAGAGTCAGGGATTTGATTTGGCTGTTCCACTAAGTGAGGGCTCGATCTGTGAAAGTGTACGATGCAAATTTCACTTTGCTGGGTTCAGGACACGCACAAATTTCGAATATTGATTCGGTCTTCTCAAACCAACAGGTTAAGGCAATGACACCTCCAGTTCCATTGAAAGATTTGGCTTTAGCGTTCGTGAAATCCTTATAGGAACACTCTCTCGGGTGTTCTTGGCTATCTCCGAGGTTAAGAGGATTGGCACCACTACCCGATCCGCTAGTGCCTCTTGCATTGATCTGCGATATGGCGGCAGCCACAACGGTGGTTACTGCTGCTTGGAAGACAACAGGGTCGTATTGAGGAGGTGGTGGCGGTGGTGGATTCGTCGAAGTGTTGTTTTTCTTCCTGTTGGACTTCTTTGGAGCCATCTTTCTCTAAAATGATTTAAGAGAATGTTGATAAGTCCTCTATAGTGGTCATGAATCAGGTGATACTGAACAAGGTATATCTTATCCTGACAGTTATAGTGTTCTATTAAGCGATTTACAGTGGAAGTCTACTAATACAAGTAAACAATCGCCATGAAATTAATAGCAACACTTGGAATGAATTTGTATAATGTGTTTTGTGCCTGATCCCCCTTATAATCACATAGTGTACAAAAATTATATCTAACTAAAACCAAATAGACCTTCGATTAAGTGATCTTACTCTAAGTTCACAACCAAACAAGTTAACAGGAAGTAAAGCTAAACCACCTATTCCGAGTCTATAAAATCTTACTTATATATAACTTATATGTATACACTTAGCAATTATAGATCTATCAGTAAGAGTTCTTTGTTTTCACGTGTTTGGCTCTAGTGTTATAGTGCTATAAAATACTCCTATTGTATTTTAATTGTATGTCCGGTTCTATTGTTTCCTTTGTATAGAGTTTGGTAAGTTTTAGACTTGTTGTAACACCACTATCATTGCCAAACACATGTTGGTCGTATCTCAAATAAACATAGTTGATCAGGCTATATTTATCTCAGATATGATTACATAACTATTCAGGTTTAACCGTAGTATACAACATCTAAATACTTTTGTTTTGTTCTTCTTGCGATACTGTTTGTGGTATGTACATATACTTGTGTACTTCCTATAAAATACTTAGATTTTAAAAGTATACTTTTATTTCAGAGCGCTTTGGCCCCATAGTGTTTATAGTTGTATATCATGTATGGTTTGATATACTTAGTTCACTATAAACAATGCTCTGATACCAATCTGTCACACCCCCAAACCGGAACGACGGAAACGTTCGGGAGCGGAGGACGTCATGTACAATATCACAACAGTTGTATAATAGTAATCAAAGAAAACATAACCATTACATTGATAAAGTAAAGTATTTAAATCTGTTCGATATATAGTTTGTATGACATCAAAATGTATAACAAAAGTATAAAAGACGCCACTCTAAAAGCTCCGTCTTCTCAAAACCTGCGGGTGTACCTGTCTTACCGGTTCCCTGAGAACACAAGTGATTTTGAATGTGTATCAACATTTAAGACGGTGAGTTCATAAGTATGTTTTTGAGATTAAAAAGGCTTGTTCTTGTTACTTGAAGATCGTTATAGTGTACTTCCAGAAGTCCAATATTTTCTTTAGTGAATGTAATGTAGTCATGTATGTTCCTTGTAAATGTATACTGAATTAGTGTACTCAGTACTAGAAAATAGTGTACTATAACTAGTTTTGTATGAAAGCCTTTGTATGAATGCCTGGATACCACCAACAATAATGTAAATTAGTGTACTGGAATAGTGTTTGTATGAAAACCTTGGTATGAATGTCTGGTTACCACCACCTGTAATGTAAAGTAGTGTACTGTAGTTTCATTAATTAGAATAAAACCCTTGAAGTAGTGTTAATCCCGTAAGCAAATGTTTTAGTTATACTGTTGTGAGTTTCATATAACCATGCTTGATATGACCTACTGACCTCTACGACGTTCTTCATGCGTCAGAATGTTATGACGTTTGTCACCCCAGGCCTGCCGGACTAACTGTAGTTAGCAGTTCAGGTGTGAGATTGTCAGTCCCGTATTGATCTATACACAAACTCATGCTCTCCCTCCAGGAGACTCTGGTTATACTGTAAAGGATTTAGAACCGGTACCCAGATGGGTACCCCGAAGTAGTGCCTCACAACCCTGTATTTACTAGTTTACGTGTAGTGTAATAGTGTTCTCTTGTACTTGAAAATTGTATGTATCAACTCATAGTAGTGTACTTTGTAATGTAAATAATTATACTTAAATAATTATTTAGTAGTGTATCCTTGAATCGATGTAATAGAGTAGTGTTCTTGAACTTGTAAAATAGTATAGTGTGTTCCAAACCATACCTATTATAGTTTAAATGTAATGTTCTGTAATGTATTGAAAACCTTTGTGATTTATCTGTGTGCATAAAGTAGTAATAAAAGTTGAGTGAAGTTCCCTTTTTGCTCGACATATTACGAAAGGGCTAAAATATATGTAAATATATTTTAATAGTTGCAGTGATAAATCGTTTTGAAACAATTGCAAAGGTTTTGAAATCGTTTGAGTATTAACACAAAAGTCCTTGTGTTTTACTTGTATTCCCCCCCCCCCCCCCTAAAAACATAGAAAAATAGTGAAAACATAGGGGTATGAACTCACCTCTAGTGTTTGTTCGAATATGGATAGTGGAACTTGTAGAGATGATCCTCGGGCTAGCGTACGTGGAAGGAACGGTATCCTAATATTATTTAGCGATAATAATTACTTAAAGTATTAGACAACACTTAATTTATATAAGGAATTATTACCGAGAATGATTTGAAATGTTGATGAGGGTTTTCGGTTTAGCTTTCACCGAAATCCTTGATTTCGGTCGTAATTGTAACTTTGAATTTTTAATTAATGTGATACTCTAGTTTTATTTATTAATATTATTTATAAAAAAATATAATAAAACGTGGATGTGGCAATCTAGTGAATTTTTAAGAATTTAATGAAATGTAAAGTTTAATATATAAAGTGGTATAGTTAGTGGAATGTTTATGTGACAATTCATTGAACTTGAATGCATTGGAGATGCTTAATATACAAACAAACAAAATTACGTATCAGATTTGTCTAATTGTCGTAAAGATGTGGTAATCAATTAAACTTATTGAATACCAAAGTTGCATGACACAAGAATGATGACATGATAATATACAACTCCTTACACATTGTTTGTAACCCACGCATATGTCCATTTAATACTTAAATAGGCTCCATTTAGCACCATTACAAATTAATCGTCCTGTCTAGACATTAAAAGATGACGTTCACATAAGCTTTAATTAAATTGTACCGTAATAGTTAAGCTCGGTACGTTCACATGTGTATGACACCCAATGATTTGAAATATTACAAAATCAACTATAACTTTAATGTTATCTTTATCAATCACAAATGTCACAAGCACAAACACGAAGTAAAACACGTGCATAGAAAACTTACACTAAAAATATGAATAACATGAAACTTGTACTTCGAAAATATTTCTGATATCAAGCAAACTATCGCCTGGCGATCTTCTTGGAAATTTCATAAACGTTGATCCAAACCAACAGTAGAAGTGTTATGGAGGATATGAATGATAAAAAAAATAGAGGCTCCGACGTGCATGCAGTAAGAATTGTACATATTACAGATCTTGTTCCATCTGCTATGAGAGTTTCCTTTGAATCCAATGTACGATACACCTCCAGATGCTCCAGTTGCTGCAGCCATGATACCTAATAGCAGCTGTGCCATATGCGTTTTGAATTATAAGTTAGTATCCTTTTCATAGATAAAAAAATCTATTGTTCACCTAAATTTATTTTGCATTGCTGATATTTGGATGAAGCAAAGACGCATAATTAATTAAACAAATTAGTCTGGTGCAAGAGCTTACCGAATGGAGTATCAAAAAATGAAATTTTTGCTTTGATGAGATTCCTCCTTGCTTCATGAGCGCCAAAACTGATAATAAACCAGTGATGATGCTGTACAAAGCAGCCGTACATAGCGCTGCCAGAAGGTATCTGCATCATAACAAGATTGTAAATATCGTGTTCCACAATAAATCCCATTTGTGGCAATAGTTATAGTGGTGGAAGTATGATGTTTTTACCTGTGAGCATCGGAGTGACTGAATTTTGCATCCTTGGATATTGCCACCCCAGGTGCAATCGTAATAAGCTTCGTTTGTTTAGAAGTTATCAGAAGAATTATCCCAGCCACGGCAGATGCAAATATCACCGCCCTAGAGAACAAATTAATAACTGCATGCTTCTTGGAACCACCTCCGCGTCTAGTACAACTGTACTCCGGTGGTGATGCTGATGTCTTTAGTGGTACCTCCATACTAACGGCGGCATGGGCATGTTGAGGAATAGTGGAGTCATTGGATACCATGGTTTCGGAGATGCAGATTACAGCAAAGCACAGTTTGTTCTTTCTTTTCAAGCTAGTACTGTGGGTGGATGCATGTATGGGCATATAGGCAGGATTCTACTTTTATACAGCAATATTAGGTCCTGATCGAGCATTTGATCTTTCGTCGTTTCTTGACTTTCGAAAACGTTTGATCTTTTTGACTATAGAGCAATTCATGGTTTTGGAAAGTATTGAAAGTGCTTTGGAAGGTGAACGCAAGCCTTTATATAATTATATGTCAATCGATTACAAGAAAAAACATGCGTCATATCTACTAAAGAGTTTTGGAAGGTGAACGCAAGCCTTTATGTCAAACCGATTACAAGACAAAAAAAAAATGCGTCATATCTAGTAAAGAGTTAAGAGTATCTAATTAACCATGTTTTGTAATTAAATGAGTTTTATGAGGGCGGTTCACGGAAAAAGTATAAATATTAAAATAAATTCATCAAAATGAAAAAAAAAAAAGCAGGTAATATTATCATTGAACAACACATAATGGAAATGTCACTATCTAAAAGTTCAAAATAATATTCTAAAAATCTATCACTAGAGTTCAAATATTAGTTCGTTGATTTAATAGTTACTACAATCTTATAATTAACATATAACTAATCTTATAATTAACATATAATTAGCAAAATGGACAAAAGCATAACTATTATATGTTATCAATTATTGATGCAAATATTATATTAATTTTATGCCTATTAAAAGTTAAGACTGTCTTAGTATATTAAATTTATTGCCTATTTAAAGCTAAAACTCTTTTAGGTGGATGGAGTCGTCCGTTTAAGCCGGTGGTTTCAAGGCGGTACCGCTGGCTCCACCGTCTCGTGGCCATGTGGAACCGTCAAATGGAAGAAATTGCATGTTGCCTAAATGCTAGAAAATTTTCCCTCTCTCCTTATAAACGTTCAATGGCTCTTTTTTAAAAAAAAAATAAAAATTAATCTTTTTACTCAACTATATAAACTACAACCATCAACCACCACTAATTCATTCCAATTCCTTTCCAACAATCTTTGATTCCATTCCAACATTTTTCAATTCCATTATAACTCTTTTCAAAACAAAAAATGAATCCATCTGTCATGAAATATTTAATTGAATAAAATCCTTATTATTCATCTTCATCCGATGAGGAATGACATGAGCTTCATATTTTCTATGCATTATCTTGAATTGCACAAACACTTGTTTAGAATAATACAAGCTCCAACACGGCCAAGCGTATGGTCTACAAAGATCGTGAACAAATAGAAAAAACTAAGGACCTGACATTATTATGCAATATTATGCAAATAATGCAACCCTTGGTGACAAGCAATCTGCATAAGGTTTTTGATGATCAAACATTTGCTTATGCATATTGTTAGTGATTTGGGGATGAACTATCCCTATTTTCAAACAAAATGAAATGTAAGGATTCAAAGAAGTTTAAGTGCTTTACATAATGAACCTCAACAATACGTCAACTAGCATACGAGAACACACTAGACGCGTTAGATGAGTATTTGAATATATCGGAAAGAAGTTCACATGAAAGTCATTAGAAGTTATGCGATTACTGTTGACGAATATTCGAGTCATTGGATGCAATGGTTTCATGGATGCAAATTGCAACAAAGCACATTTTGTTCTTTCTTTGCTAGTACTATGGTTGGATGCATTACATAAGTTCTATCTTTATACAAAATTAGGTTATGTGAATTCGATCTTTCGTTGTTTTTAATTTTTGAGCATTTCATATTTTTGACTGTAGAGCAATTCACGTCTTTAGAAAACTTTGGAATTGTTTTAGGAGGTGAATGCAAGCATTTATGTGTCAAAATGATTACACGACAAAAAAATGCATCCTATCTTTTAAGGAGTTAAAGAATATGGCTATTAAATCGCGATCACGATCATGGTCGTAGGATCTAATGATCCTACGATCGTACCTAGGTGTAAATCGATCCCGAACATACTTGGGTCGATTTTTGGAAATATCATAGAATTATTAATATTTATTTTTTAGGAAATCTGAAGAAAAAGTCCAAAAGTTTTGGGTCAGTTTATGAGCTAGTTCTAAATTAAATTTCATTAACGTAAAAGGACATGAAACTGGTTGTTGTTATGACTAACAATTTTTTTTTTTACCTTTTTAGTAGGTTACCAGGTGAGTTGGCGCACCAAATGGACTGTTGGTCGAACGTTGCAGCTGATGTGGCATGCCCTTCCTTTACAAATTAAAAAGTTTGTTTTTTTTGGACAAAAGATGAGGAGGTGGACTCGAACTCTTAACCTCCCACTCCCAAACCATACACCTTACCACGTGAGCTAGAAACATTTATTTTTATTATTTCTTCAAATGTATTTATAAAGTCATAATACCCTGACCAACCACATATTAAACATAGTATTGTAACACCGAATCCATGTATGAGTTTATGCTTTGTATGTTTAAGTTTAAAGGATGGGTTTGGTATTTTAGCCCTTCTCGCGGCGTGGTCGGTGGCTTATTGTGTCAATGCGATGTCACCACATTAAAGATCGCAATACGGCGCCAAAATGTGCTCATCATATCTTAAGCTCTATTTAAAGAAGATGGGGCTAAGGTTTCTCCTAACCCCTGCCTCCATCTCCTCCAGAAAGATTCTCATTAAATCCTAGCCTCCATTATTGAGTTTTGAGCTTTTGACCTTGTTTTGTGAAGCTTAGTGTACAAGAAGCTTCCTCTTGGAGAAAGGAAGCAAAGGCGAAACTTAGATCCAACATTTTCAATAATTTTCTGGCCCATTTAAGGTATAAAACTCCCAACTTGATCATCATTTCGTTAAATGTAATTTATGGTAATTTTATGAGCTTTTTGTCCCCAAAACTCTATGTTCTTCGAGTTGGAGTGAACTCAATAATCTTAGTGCATTTATTAGCATCAGGACTTGTTTGATTGTAACAAAGGTGTTTGTATGTGCTAGCCTTGAGTCCATGCAATTGGTATACTCATTTTCGACTTAGGGTTTTAGATATTGACTTAGTAAGATGTCTTAATATATAAAGTTAGAAACTTTATCCATTTAGACCTTTAGACGAATAATATCTAAGCTTTTAAGCACTGGTGATTAATGGTTAAGTACTTAACCTATTAAGTTGTTTTGGTCTCTGGTCACTATATAGTCATGTGTAGACGACGACGTGGTGGTGGGTTTAATCGCCAATATTTTGTCATTTAGCCACCATGACACAACCATGGCGTTGGCCGTGACGCGATGACTTGACTGTTGACTTTAATTGTTGAACATTGACTTTTGACGAGGTTGACTTTTGGTCAACTTGAGGTTTTTAGGTACTAAACTGAGGTGTGATCTCTATTTAATTTTTAGGTGTTTCGTAGTACCAACATTTACTTTTCTGCGAGTTTTGGCTGCTCGACTGTATCGTGGGTTTCCTCACTATACTATATATTGCAGTATATATCCTAGTCCGCTAGGATATGGTTTGACTTTGGTATGTTGTTATGTAGGTAGACTTGTAGACCGTTGTTTGTAATGTTGAGTTGTCTGTTTATCTGTATTATGCATATGTTGAAATATATGTGTAGGCTGAGGCGTTCAACTTTGTATGGATGGCCAAGATGCGGGCGGACCAACTTTATGCTGAAACCCATAGGATGAGTTGATGACATGATCAACATTAAGTGTTGTGAGTCAAGAAATTCACGAGGGTCGATTTGATGGCAAGATCAACTAAAGTGTTGTGAGCCTAGATACTTGCTGGGTTGGTACAGACTCGTTACATGTATATCTGTCTGTATATTATTGTATGTGGTATTTTTGGAGAGCTCACTATGTATTGGCATATGGATTTACATTTTTCAAGAACTTTAGAGGATCGGGGAAAAGTAAATGCGTGATTGTACACACTCTTCAGTTGTGTTTAGTATTTTTGAGAGATGTTTCAATATGAGACTCTGATTTTGGATTTATGTTGTGGAACAGATATTTGGTGATCGTTGGTTTTATTAAAATGGCTTTTATTATCTTTAAAAATTCGAAATTTTTTAATATGGTTTTGGAACGTTACAAGTTTGTATCATAGTCATGGTTTAAGGGATTTGATGAACACTCGTGTGATTCCAAACTCAAAATATGATGAAGAATATGTGATGTGTACAGTCAGTTGAAAATCAAAGGAAAGTGATCCCCCAAAACATACATACTTGTTATATATATATATATATATATATATATATATATATATATATATATATATACATATATATATTGATATATGAACTGTTAGAAATGCATGTTACTTCATATACTAAGGATCCCCTCAGAATTGCATGATAAAGTTTCATGATTTTGTGACACCTTGTAGCCTAAGAGATTGCTTGTCTTGCACTACTTAGAGATTAAACTAATATCATTAACTGCAATGTGTATGCTTTATAGTTATACACAATTAAGAATTTATAGCCCTACAATGCCTAATTTAGCCTTATTTCATGTTCCTTTTTTGGATTTGGACTTGGGGTGGAATCATTTTATTCGACCGTCTATTAGATCTTGAATTATATACGACTCGTATATGTGAAGCAATTAATGAGGTTAGTGGAAAGTTCTAGCAGCGGAGGAGCATTTTCGAGAAGAATCCTAGTAGGAGTATCTAGGAAGTTTAATTATGGCTCTTCGGAGTGTATAAGTGTGTCTTACTACAATTAGTAGTGGTCGAGCATGGTGACTTGTAGCATTCAGATGTTTCTTGAGTCAAATACCACATAGTTGTAGAACATAGTATGGGCTATTACTACTGAAAGCATAAGACCCATATAAGGTCCAGGAAAGGTCGCAAGGTTACCAAGGAACTAGTAGATGAGTTCTTAGTATGTATTAGCATTGCGACCTATTTTGACCCAATGTTTTGTATATTTCAGTATGGTGATGACTAGAGGTTCCGGTTCGGGCGCCATCAACCATGATGAACCGGGTCTGAGTGATGAGTAGATCCATAGCGTGATTGCCATTAAGGTGGCGGTAGACACCCGAGAGGTGATTCAAGAGATGTTTGGGTCTATCAAGACCCAACTGATAGTCATGTTTGATGAGCTCTATGATGTTGTCACTTGCTACCATCGTCATTGTTGATGTCGTTGTTATTGTTGTAAGACCGCTAGGAGTGGATCGATGTAATAATGGGAGTTTAGTAACGTGAAACCCC